TGGCACTTCTACAATCCTTTCTTTATCTACACTGAAAATCTCAACTCCATATCTCAAGTCATTTAGGAGGAGTTACTAGGACAAGCAGACCCACTGAAAATCAGAAAATCGTATATATATATCATGACCGGAAGTGACGTTCTCAATACAAAAAATTTCCAATAAGGTTCAGATCGATATCTACTAGATCTGAAAGTTTCGTGAAAATCCATTGAGCCGTTTGCGAGAACTCGCGTGCACAAAATCGGTAAGAATAATAATAAAAACTAGACTCTTGTTGCCATGGCAACAAAAAAGTCTTCCGTTCCTGTATGATACCGTTTGCATTGATTTTTGTATGCAGAGAAATGTGTACATTAGGTAATAATTCTAAAATTGTAAAGAAACTAGGTTTTTCCTTTCGGTACTTGCAGTCCTTTGATTTTTACTGCAAAAATGAATGTATCTGTTGTTCTCATATATTATACTGTATGCATGCAGTTTTTTTTTTTATCAAGAAGCTTATTTTAACTTTTTAAAATTTAATTGGTGAGTATCTAGAAAACAATGTCTCAGAACTTACGGTACTTTGATTTTTACTACAAAAAATATCCTTTCAGTCCTTGCGGTACATTTGCTTTGATTTTTATTGGCTGACAAAAATACCTTCCATAGGTTACTTATTGTATACATGTTTATGTGTAGAAAAACATGCCAGTTTATATACTACATTTACACTGTAGTGAGAAAAAGATTGGTATGTAGAACAGTCCTCTCAGTACTTAAAGTACTTTGATTTTTTTTGCAATTTTAAGTCGTCAACCTAATATATATGGGACTGTATGCATTGATTTTCTATGAAGAGAAACATGTAAACATAACCTTCATGTAATTGAAAGTAAAAAAAGCTCCGTCAGTACTTTCAGTACTTTGATTTTATAAATGCAAAACGAAAGTAGCTGAAATCTACAAAACGAGTGATCTGATTTTAAAACAAATTATATATTTGGCTTCTATGGATCTATTTCTATAATGCCTAGAAATATCTTGAAAAAATATTCAAAAACAAAAAAGTCGAAAATTGACCGAAACACAAATTCACTTCCGGTGCGGACAGGAAGTACTAGAAACACACGAAAACTACTTCAAAACAAGGACAATGTCATTATATAAAACTTCTGTAAATTTCACATCTTTACCTCAACTTGTTCTCAAGAAAAATTCCGGACAAAATGTCATTTAAAAATTGAAAATTCGGCCATAACTTCGGACCGGAAGTGAATTTTTCAAAAAACGGAATTTTGTATAAACTTCATATATCAGCCTACTATCATGTGAAAAATTGTTGAAATCTATCCAACAATCTCTTCGTAATCGCGCTCACAAAATTTGGGAGGAATAATAATAATAAAAAGAAACAATACAAACACTCTAAGTCTTCCGTTGTGAACGGAAGACTTAATAATAATAATAGGGAAAAAGAAACAGAACGAAAACAATAAGGTCTTCCGTTGGAAACGGAAGACCTTAACTAGAAAGTTTGCTATTGCAAGCAATAGCTTATGTCGTCCCCGAATTAGAGAAGACTTTCATTATTTGTCATCACTAAAGCAAAACCCATTATAGCTAAGCTTGGAAAACCATCAACTCGTATCAGTCCTTTCAGTACTTTGATTTAAAATCAAAGTTAAAGAATTTTCACTTTGTCCCTGTTTCCATGGCAACTATTGACAATTTGCAATTTTTAAATGCAAATCGCACAATTACATATACTAACCATTACAACAACAAAGTTTCATGAAGAATATCCAAGGGACCAGAGAGAACACTCGCGGACAAAATTCATCAAAATTCGTCGCTTTTTTTAGGTTTCCATGGCAACGGTAGCCATTTTGAAACTGAATGACCACATGGCACAACAACAACCAGTGATCGTCCTTTGAGGAAAGTTTCAGGAAGATTGTCCCAGCCATCTCCGAGAAAACGCCTGGACAAAAAACATGCGTACAATCGCAATATGTCGTCCCGACGACTTCGTCTGGGACGACATAATAATAAGCAACAGAGTAAAAACAATATGTTCCCCAACTTCGTTTGGGGAACATAATTACAGAAACTAAACAAACTTTGTGACACATACACTGAAGGACAACATAGACTAACTACCTGATGGGAGGTAATCTCAAAAGAAGGACACGTACATTGAAGAGCAAGACTTGTAGTTCATGGGTTTGAAAATAATTTTTGCATTCCTAGAGCCAGTCATCGTCGGAAACCACGGCCAAAATGTACGATCCTCTCTACACTGCGATTTGGGTACATCAAAATTCATCGTCCGACTATGCGTAACTCGCATTGGTCAAAATTGTAATAAACTACGAAAAATTCTCTCCTCATTCAACCACGGCCAGAATACGAAATACTGCTGATGTCAATTGTTGATTTCAATTGCGATGAAAACAAAACTTGTCATTGACTGAATATGACGTCACAATAGAGAGGTGTAAATATTAAAGATTGCGACACTTTTTGTGATCAACCGGCCATGGGTAGGAGAGAGCTACATACGGACTCTGGACCGTGAATTGAGACTAGCTACATGTACATGCGGATTCCGGACCGTGGCTTGAGACGATGAGAGACCGTTAGACTGTTGGAAAAGGTAGCTTGACTCTAACAGCAAGTAAATTATGAGATTTTAAAACCGCAGACATAAAGTCATGGCTCATGCAGCCTTTTCCCAAGGAAAGATCCCACTGTGGGACGTGCGAACCGGTCCTTCGGATCACACCGTATATACCGAGGTCCCGAGTCGCAGTAGGTGCTGGCACGAAAAAGATCCCTTCCTGCTCAATGGCCCTGTGAGTGCTGAATATGGAACAAAATTTGCAGCTCTCCACCGGCAAGTGGTGGCGTCTCCATATGAGTGAAAAATTCTCCAGAGGGAGGTTCAACAATATACAATCAATCAATCCCAAGGAAAGTAACTTGACAGATTTGTTTACCTTCAACAGCCAAATAAAAGGATCAAACTTGCCAGAATGATATTTAAGTTGAAACACTGTCTATATGGACTGAAAGATGGTGCAAGACAGTTTTATTTATATTGTAAAAGAATGCCTTGACAAACTTGGCTTCGAATGATGTAATGTAAACCCAGCCCACTTCTACTATAGAAAGGAAAGAAAGCCACATGGAATAATTTGTTAAAATGTTGACGATTTTCTCCATGCTGGGAATGAGATTTTTGAGAGACAAATTTGCGAGTTTAGATAGAGATTTTTAACAGGAAGTGATGCTGAATGCATATGTCAATTTCATTACATTCCTTTCAATCTTAAGCAAGGTTAAGAGGGAATAGTACTGGATTAAACTAATTACATGAAGAAGTTAGAAAGTACAGGGATCAACCCACTGCGAGCAAGTCAGAAGAAAGTCGACTAAGTGACAAAGAACAGACTGCATACAGACAATGCAGAGATCGAGACCAGAACTTGCATTTGAAATGATAGATATGAGCACTAAGCTAAGAAGTGGAACCATGACAGACTTAATCAGAGCAACAAAAACCATTAACCGGATTAATAACTTCAAAAGTATCCTGAGATTTCCAGCTTTAGATCTTAGGTCACTTGAGAAAATGACATTAACTGATGCATCTTTAGGAAACCATAACGACGGAACTGGAAGTTCCCAAGGAGTAATCATCTGGATTATTGACAAACATGGAAAATGCTGTCACCGTTTCTGGCAGGCTAAGGAGATCGAAGGAGTTGTCCACTCCACCCTCACAGCAGAGGCAACTAGTCCACAGGAAGGACTTGAGGCAAGTTTTTATTATCGATACATGTTGGAAATTGTGGGAGTTCCCAGCAAATCCATCGCGATTTATGCATTTGTAAACAGTAAGATTGTGATTGAATCCGTTCAATCGTTTGAACTTTTGGAGGATAAGAGACTCAGAATTGATATTGCGGCATTGACAGAGGTAACTCAAGGAGAAGTGAAAAAATTCAGTGATGATCTGAACAAAAACAGTTTGCTAATTGCATAACAAAATCAGGAACGTATGGTTTGCGTGTTTTGGAGATTCTTAATTCGAACAGTACGGATATTGTCAGACTTTTGTGGTTAAAAGTGACAATGCTACTGTTTATCTTACAATCAAAAACACTTGATTAATGCTATATTTTATTTTAATTTCTATACCCAAAAAAGAGAATAGTATTAATACTTAATGTATGTTTACTTCTGTGTAATTATATGAAAAGAGAAGTTACTCTAGTTAATGTTCAACATATCTCCCAATAAAAGCACAGGCACCTGAAGTATGGATAATACCCCCCCCCTTTTTTTTAATGAAAAAAAATGTAAGAGTGTATAATACCTCAAAAATATAAAATTTCCCCGTCAAACACATCTATATGTCGTTATATGCAAGCAGATTGTACTTTTTCTCACGTTTAAAGAATGGCCCTATTCGCCTTGTGTATTTTTATTATACCGAATAGGGCCATTCTTTAAACGTGAGAAAAAGTACAATCTGCTTGCATATAACGACATATAGATGTGTTTGACGGGGAAATTTTATATTTTTGAGATATTATACACTCTTACATTTTTTTTTTCATTAAAAAAAAAAAGGGGGGGTATTATCCATACTTCAGGTGCCTGTGATAAAAGTGCTCTTCATCTTGAAAAGTTCAGTTCCAGTGTATGATGATGAATTTAAGCACATGGTCTAACAATACTAGGGTTGTCCGTAAAGTTTGTGCAGTGGCAGTGACCCATTTCGAAATTTTGAACTTTCAAATTTTGCAGGTTAGACGTTAAAATATTTTCCTCGGAATTTCAAAAAGTGCAAATGAAATGTTAGTGTATTAAGTACAAATTTCCTTTGAATTTATGCATTTCAAAAGCGAAATACATGTTTACATCTTAAGCATAATATTTTTGTGGGTAAAGGGGGTCATCATAATTCGAAATAACATATAGAAGTTTCAGAGATAAACTTTACTTACGTGCAATTTACATCTGGCGAACCTGGTTGGGGAATGTCAATCCCAATATAACATCGAACATACCCTGCCGAATCACACTGAGCGTCACAGACTCCTAAACCAAGAATGAGACATGAAAGTGATATGACAAATTTAAATTGATCATAATAAAGTACAATTTAGGGATTCTACATAATATTTAAAAGATGAATTGTTCAAATATCTAAATATATCCCCCTAGAGTATTTCATTTTTAAATTTTGCATGCCATAATGATATTAAGGGTAACAATCATCAATACAGTTGTGAATAAGATGTAGCAATCATCAGATCCTTTTTTATGCCCCCGTGATCGAAAATTCGGGGGTTTATACTTTTTTCTGTCCATCCGTCTGTCTTTGTCCGCAAAACTTTACCTTGCTCATAACTTCTGAGTGGGTGGGGCTATGGCTTTCATATTTCACAGGTGTATACCTTGTGACATCTTGAAGTTTTACCCACTTTTACAAAGATCTATCACATTTTTAAAACCTTGGTCAAAACGTTTCAAAACTTAGTGAAAGGGCATTGCAAATTTCACATTTGTATTCAATGGGGCGGTCCTTCGGATGAGACTGTAAAAACCGAGGCCCCGTGTCACAGCAGGTGTGGCACGATAAAGATCCCTCCCTGCTCAAAGGCCGTAAGTGCCGAGCATAGGACTAAATTTGCAGCCCTTCACCGGAAATGGTGACGTCTACATATCAGTGAAATATTCTGGAGAGGGACGTTAAACAGTATACAATCAATCAATTATTGTGTCAAACCTTTCAGTGGGTATAAAGTTATTTACCTTTTGACCTTGACCTTAGAGTTTGACCCTCTTTTTTAATAAATTTTAATCTTGGCCAGAGCTTTTGAACATCTGGAACTAGGGATTTTATATCTCACAGGTGTATTCCTTGTGACAAGAATTTCCTTTGGATACCAACAATTTTGATCTTGATCTTTGGATTTTAACATGCATTTGAGAACATGAAACATTCACCATATTTTCTGGCATAAACATGAAGGACACCTTTTTAAATCGGAATCTTCTGCGGCAATGAAATGTTGCAGGCCACGCCTCAGATCTTTTTGGGAACGAAATGGCCAAAGATCTTACACAATGCAAGGTATAAGTATTCAAGCTGGAGGGGAAACCATACAGATAGGAGTACCGATGTTGATAATTTTAACTGTGATGATGTATTTAGACGAAGACATTTCAAAAATTGTTGCCTTTGTATCTGTTCCAATCTTGGAAGGAAAATCAATAGGAGAAAAATTGCAAATAATGTGCATTGACTTGCATTAAATGAACTCGATATTAAAACGAGCTATGTGGCACCTGAGGTAAAAAAAAAAAAAAAAAAAGTATTTTTATGTCGTGAAAGAACATGTTACGAAAACGTACTGCTGCCACTTGAAAAAAAAATTGTAAGTCGTACGTATGTGATACTAAGCCGTACGAACGAGATACTAAGTCGTACGTACCACATATTATCTCGTACGTACGGCTTAGTATCACGTATCTTGTATTAGTATTTGTGTTAGTATATTGTACGTACAACTTACAATATTTTTTTTCAAGTGGCATCAATACGTTTCCGTTAATTATAAATGGCAGGATGTTTGTATAAAAAAGAAACGTGAATTCGTTGGTGCCTAGCTGTCATCTAACTCATCTGGCTAAGTTTTTTAAAATAGGTCAAACTTCTAGATCAAGGTCAAAGTTGTTGGTTTCCTAAGAAAGGTCTTGTCACAAGGATAACATATACCATATAAGTGGAAATTTTAGCGAGACGCAAATTTAGCGATTTGTCCTTACAAGTTGGTGTTTATTTTTAGCGAGATGCAAATTTAGCGATTTTAAAATGTTCACTAAAGAAGCTTTTACAAATAAAATGCAATTAATTTTTAGCAATATGAAATTTTAGCGATCTCAGCACCCTCTCTAATAATGCCAAAATTAAATCCTCGCTAAAATTCTACTTATACGGTATAACGTATGAAAGCCCTAGCCCTTAACGTAAAAAAGTTATAGACAAAGTTAAAGTTTTTTAAAGGTAGGACAATCTACCAAGGTCAAAGGTTCAAAGTTTTGAAAGTTCTTGTCCCACAGAATACATATGAGAAGTTAAAAGGTCCTAGCACCAACCGTTTAAAAGTTATGGGCAAAGTAAAAGTGTGAGTTTTTTGTAAAAATAGGTCAAACTCCAAGGTCAAGGGATCAATTTTGGTGGTCTTGTCACAAGGAATACACTTTAGAAATATGAAAGTCATAGCCCCACCCACTCAAAAGTTATTGGAAAATGAATCAAATGGCCGATATAATATCTAGAGAGATAACGAACAGTATATATTAAAGCACAAAAGTCCAAACAGTCAAATCAGGAGCAGAACTCTAAAACATCAGAGGTAGTATCCGGTGCCATGGAGCAAAGATTCCCCATATATTAGTATTTTTATACTAGGCTTTCATTTTTAATAAAGTTCATCCCTATAATAAGACTTCTCATCTAGTATGAATAAGATATTTTCTCCCCCCCCCTCTCCCCCCTGCTGGTACGTGCCTGTACCAGTCTGAAAAAGAAACTCTCACAGGTGGATTTGAGTTTATCCATCACTGAGTGCCTGGTGGTCTATTGGGCTGATAAAAAAAATTAATAAGCTTTTCTGCACACCATAAGGGAGAATTTCTCTACTTTCCAGCATTGGTCAATCAACTACCTTTCACTTCCTAATTCTAGACGCATATTTTATAAATCTGTATATTTTTTTCACCTCCTAGTCCTTAATAGTTTACTATAGAGGTGATAAACTTAGATTAATTTGAACTCTCTGTTTGTTTGTAGAAAATTTAAATCAGTGTATTGCTTGTAGAGCCAACTATAAATGGTAGGGGTGAAAGGTAGATGATTTACCAATGTTGGAAAGTGAAGAAATTCTCCCAAATAATGCACAAAAAATCTTGCGCCGTAAATTGCACATTGTTTGCATTACGGGATCTGTATTTAGCGTTATGGTCAAAGACTAATACTCTAGTTGTATAATTAACCAAAACCGTAACCTTACAGTTCTGCACTGATAAGAAATGAACTGGGAGAAATTCAAAGTACACTGTACTTTCAAAACTAATGAAGTTAATACTTTGTATTCCTTACTAAATGTAGGATTTGCATGAGCGTATTTCCTTAGTCATAAAGAATCACAGTGATTTCAGAAGAGCCACGAAAACTTTCTGTAGAAATATCCTTGTGAACAAAATGATCATGTTCAGGAAAACTTACCGACAGCAAGTCACTGAGAAATTCATCTACAGGCAAAGGTTGCCACTTACATGTAAATGTCCTTTACAAATTAAGTTGCAACGAAATAAAACTGTTTACATGAATTTTATATTAAGTAAATTATAACTTAAAAAGCATTCCAAGTTCTGAAAATGTAATACATGAGCTATTGAAAACATTCAACATACACTCATCTGTTTTAATTATGTTGACGGATATTTACGATTTTAATAAATAAGTACCAGAGATATGCGTTGAAATTGCTCCTTAAAGAAATCCAGGGGACCATCTTACTACGTTCCATTCTGAATGTTGACAGCTCCTGAACTGTATTCAAAGTTTTAAACTACTTAACATAAAGATGTTTTTAAGTGTGATTCGTTATAATTTTAGTATATCACAAGTTTCATTCCAGGGTGCTATTCAAAAAATAAATATCTTTTTTGATTTACATCAAATTATTTCATTGACTAAATTTACTTAAATAGACGAGTTAAGCACCTCACCTGAAAAACACGTCATCAGACAAATTAATCCAGCAAAACGTCGCGTATTCATAATGTTTCCCTAGCTCCAAATCTATAACTTCTAATAATTTGTCTAAACTTATGTGAATTTCTTGTACCTTACGACAGATGATATCACACAATTAAAAAAAAAACAAGTGACTTTTGTAAGTGATACTTAAGATTTCCTTCCTGAAGTGAGTACAAATCAAAGTTCATTACAGGGTAAACAAAATGAAATTTGGTCTATCTACTTTAAACTTATGTTATATTTTTCTTCACAGTTCATGATAAATATTTTTCTTCACAGTTCATGATAAATATAAAACAAATTAAATTTTAATATCTTGAACTTTTAGTATACACTGTATATGCGAATATGTTTTTTCATTATAATTTTAATACATAATTGTCTTCATCTATTGACCAAAATGGAATACCATGGCAATTTAACTGTTCAGGTGATACTGTTTAATAATCCCTTTTGTTTAGATTTTACATTCCTCTGGTTTTAGTAGCTTTATAAGCAGATTTTTTTTATTTTCAAACTCGGCGTTATAACATAACATGTACAATGGAGTGTAAATCATTTTTCTTATTTTTATAGCATCAAAATGCATCTTCGATATATGAAAACATCTACATTTATTCAAATCTGGACATGGCACAAAATGTAACTAGAAGGAAAAAACGCAGCGGACCAGACCGGGATTCGAACCCGGGCCCCCTGAATCTCCGGTTAGGTGCTCTACCAACTGAGATCGCCGGCCAACGGCGATTGAACCCGGCTGACCCCCTTAATACAATTTATTATTTCTTTGTTGTACGCATCACAAATATTCCTTTTACCAAGAAGAGGATGTTAATATTCCGGTTTCTCTGTAATGATTGTTTCTTCCTGTTGCGTTTCTTCCTGAATTGAGCCATCATTCGATGTAAAAAAAAATTAGTAAAAACAACTTTTATTTGCTTGCAATATATTCCCGCTATTAACGCGACCTTCTTTTTTATTTGCAATTATTTTATGTCATGAACCTTATATTCTATTGTGCATTTTTGCATCATGAAACTCCAGTCGTGGAAATTAACAGTCGCGGATTGATTTCGGGCAGTTGATTCGCAAATCAAAGATGGCGCTAATAATAGTTGATTTACAATATAAATTGTAAACATTGCAAATATATTGTTTAATTTAACATGTAACATCATCACCTACATATAAAGCTTATATCTACCAGTTGATTCGAATTCGAACCTGCATACGGAGTTAATATCTCTCAGTTGATTCGATACGCAATAATATGCTCTGTGTATGTACAATTTCTAAAACGAGGTAAAATATTGACAATCAAGTATATGAAGCAAGAATATCAGTGGTTTCTTTAAAAGTCATAATTTCGCAAGATCTATTGTCGACACAATGACACTCATCATTGAGACAGACGCTGCCTGACATTTCTTTAATACAAATTGTAAGTGCATTATTTACACACTGAATTGACGATGAATGGAGGTTCCGTGTCGCAGTAGGTGCTGGCACGAAAAAAGCTTCCTCACTCCTAAATGGTTGTAAGTCGCCCTCCTTGCGCAGTGGTTAGAGCGCCAGCTCTAGACTCGCGAATTAAGGAATTGATCATTACGTCGCGGGTTTGAGTCTCACGTACTGTAGGATGAGACCGTATAAACCGAGTTCCCAGCAGTAGGCACGTGAAAGGCCCCAACCTACTTAATGGCCCTGAGTGCCGAGTATAGGAAAATGAGTGAAAAATTCTCGAGAGGGATGTTAAACAATCAACCAATAGCTGTAAATGCCGTTTATTCACGGATTGTATTGTATATTGTTTAACGTCCCTCTCGAGAATTTTTCATTCATATGGAGACGCCACCACTTGTCGGTGGAGAGCTGCTAATTTTGTCCTTTGCTCGGCACTAAGGGCTATTGAGCAGGGAGGGATCTTTTTCGTGCCAACATCTACTGCGACACGGTACCTCTGTTTATCCGAAGGACCGGTCTCCACGTCCCACAGCGGGATTCGAACCCGCGCCGTAAGGATCAACTCCTTACTTCTGCGCCATGCGAATATTGACGTAAAACATTGCAGCTCTCACCGGCAGTTGGTGGCGTCTCCATATGAAAAAATAATGGAGAGGGACTTTAAACAACATACACTCAACGACCCTATGTTAGTTCGAATACAATCGCAACTTCTCGGGCCTTTCCGTCAGAAGTAAGAAAAACAACCTCCAATCTATTAACATTTAACTTTTTAAAAAATTTAAGATGGAATGGCTTCCTTTTTATCAAAGTATGGGACAAATTGAGTTGAAGGTCCCTTCTGTAGTATGTTTATAGGTAATATCTTTACATTTATTTTTAGTAACCCTTCATATAATAAATTTAACAGAACAGTGGGACGGACAACTTCGGAATGGACATTTTTCCGAACTTGCGCACCCTTTTCCTTTAAAGCTATCATCTTAGGGTTTTTTTTAAATGGTGGGGTTTTTATAATCAAATTGATTTATGAAAAAAAAAATTCAACATTTTCTGCTAGTTTTTGAGATATTTGAGTTCAAAACCAAAAATCCCATGGGGAAACATGAACTTAAAAATACCCCACAAAAAACCCCACAAAAACCCCATGGGATTTATTTTTCACCCCATGGGGGAAATAACCCCACGAAAATCAATGTAGGTTTTTTAAACCCATATGTTGCTTATATTGTCATATGGGGTTTTTTCTCCCACGTTTCTTTATCATGGGGTTTTAAATCCCATGTATTGATATATTTACTGTAAGATAATTCTTAAAAACTTGGGTTTTTTTCTTAGACTACTGGATCATTAGTATCTTCTCTGTTTCTCATTTTATAAAAGTGGATAGTTATAACAAATATCTATTATTTTTCAAATTTTCCAGTATTCATTCTTCAAATTTTTGCTTATGTAAAAGAAGAATTATATGAAAACAGGTTTCTAAGGCAGTTGCCTCCCATAATGAAACACTCATCATAAAACTCTTCACAGATTATTTGATTGATGACAATTAATCTGAATATAAAAAAAATGAAACAAGAAAATTTAATACCAACACAATATACACAAAAGAAACCAATTCCCGGTGTCCAAAGATGGTCTCTTTCCTTAAGTAATATATATTTATATGTTAGGTTTATATGATGTCAAGTTTGTGGCTTTTCTTAAAATCTCCATTCCCCTTGCATTCACCACTAATGAGATTGGATTTATTTCATACATGTGCAATATATCTACATATTTAATTAATGGAACTGATTGATTCAGTTATATATCACAAAGTACAACTATTAAAATCTTTTGAATCATCCAAATATTTAAAAATAAAATATCTATGCCTCTTGGATCCACCACTTATGAGTTTAGATCATGACCACACATGACATATAATCTTAATATTTAAAATCAATCAGCCATAGTCATTAATATTCTTGATAAGGATATGGAAATAACGAACAGTATTCAATCTCAACGTCCATTAAACAAATATACAAAACAAGAGCAGAGCAAACACGGACCTCCGAAACATCAGAGGTGGGATCAGGTGCCATGGAGGAGTGAGCATCCCCTGCTGACCGGTCACACCCGCCGTGTGCTCATTGTCATAATCAGGAAATAACGGAAAAAATCCGTAGTCAATTCAGTGTATAAATAATGGACTAACAATTGGTATGAAAAACGTCAGTCAGCATTTCATTCAATGATAAATTGTATTTGCTGACAAGGTCATTGTATCGACCATAGAATTTACGAAATGATGACTTTAAACGAGACTGTTGATATTCTTGTTTCATCAACTTGCTTGTCAATAATTTACCTCGTTTAAGAAATTGTTCATACGTAGAGCATGCTCTTGCGTATCGAATCAACTGAGATATAAATACTCCGTATGCAGGTGATGAAGGTATATTGCTGCATAAGTAAGGGAAGTTGACGATAGAAAAGTTAAAGTCATCACGTTTATTATATAGCTTGGTTGTTAGATTACCATTTGTGTCTTTTTCAAGTAAAATATCCAAGTATGAAGCAGATGTGTTGGACTCTGTGGTATCTTTTATCTCAAGCTCACCAGGATATATCGTGTCGACGTAGGAATGGAAATTATCATTATTAATTGACAATACGTCGTCGATATATCTAAATGTCGAGTTGAAGGCCACAGCAAGTGTTTTTTTCTTTTCACGCAAAAGATTTTGCATAAATTCTGCTTCATATGAATATAAAAATCACATGTCAAATATTTCTTTAAAAAAATGAATATCCACTCCCCATGGATCCACCACTAATAAGTTAAGATCTTGATCACACATGACATATAAGATTAAAGTTTGAAATAAATTAGCCATAATCATTATTATCTTTTACCCACCACAAATATTTAAAAATAATATCCGCTCCCCTTAGATCCACCACTTTAAAATTAAGATCATGTTCACACCTGACATATAAGCTAAATGTTTGAAATAAATTAGCCATAATCATAAATCATTAATATCCTTTGATCATTCACAAATATTTAAAAAAGATAAATATCCACCCCCCTTGGATCCATCTCTTATGAGTTTTGATCTTGATCACACATAACATATAAGTTTAATGTTTGAAATCAATTAGCCGGAATCAGTAATGTCCTTTTACCCATCACAAATATTTAAAAATAATATCCACTTGCCTTGGATCAACCACTTTAAAATTAAGATCATGAGCTAAATGTTTGAAATAAATTAGACATGATCACAAATCATTAATATCCTTTGATCAAACACAAATAATTAAAAAAGATAAATATCCACTCCCCTTGGATCCACCACTAATAAGTTTAGATCTTGATCACACATGACTTATAAGCTATATGACTGAAATCAATTAACCATAATCATTATTATCCTTTGACCCATTACAAATATCTATCCACTCCCCTTACACCCACCACAACTCTCATGGCTATCAAAACAATTAATATGCACTTGCCTTGGATCCACCACTTCTTAGTTAAGATCATGATCACACACAGAAATATTAGCTAAACATTGAAATAAATTCGCAAAAATCATTAGTATCCTTTGATCCACCACAAGTATTTAAAAATTCAATATCAACTCCCTTTGGATCCACCACTCAT